GCAGGGGCGGCGCGGGGGCCGGGGAGGGCGCGGGCTCGCTCTTTCCCTCTCACCAACCTTCCCGGCGGGGAGCTCCCTGCCCTGCCCGGCCCGGCCCTGCCCAGCGCCCGCCCCCCGCCCGCCAGGCCCGGCATTCCTTGCGGGGGCATGTGGCTTCTTGCCGGCCCCGGGGGCACGCAGTTGGCTGGCGGCCGGGAGGGGGGCGCGCAGGGAGCGGGAGGAAGCGAGCGCCCGGGAGGGGGCCCCGCCGGGGAGGAATTCCAGCCCCTCCCGCGGGGCTCGGCCCTCACGCGGCCCGGGGGGCGCCGGGCGGGCGTGGGGCGGGGGGAGTGAGAGCTCCGGGGAGGCGGGGGTCGGAGCAGGTCTGCGAAACGCACGAGCGGCCCACCGTGCGCCCTCCCAGCCTCCGCAGCCCACTGGGCGCGGCCTGCGGCGCGACCGGAGCGGACACCCAACGCGCCAGCTCCACACCGCGCGCGCGCCCCCTTCCCCATCTGCACGGCCTGGGGTGGGCACCCCGCGTCTGCAGGTCGCCTGCCTCCTGGCAGCAGTATATGGGGGGGCTCCGCGCTTGGTGCCTGGCCGATCTCATGGCCCATGGGATGGCCCCCAGCCACCCGTGAGGGCGCAGGGCTTGGGGGTCACCGAGGCAGGAACCTGGAAGCTGTCGAGTGACTTGCCCAAGGTCACGCAGCCCATTCCTGGTGAAGTCTGGACTAGAGCCTGGGGCCCCCTCTGAGTCAACTGGAAACAGGAGAACCCCCAACTTCAAGCGTTATGTGTCAGGTCTGGTTTACCTCCATGCCCCACCCTCAGCCCAGTCCTCTTCCAGAAGGATGACCACTGGAATCACGCTGGGGTGAGTTCAGGCCTCAGCCCACATGTCCAGCTGCCAGGTGGGGGCAAGACCCGAGGGATTTGTAAAGGATCACTGAACACGGCTTGTCCTGAGAAGCAGGTCTCACTTGGCTGGGCAACATTCACGCACAACACATCCCGAGGCAGTTAAGTCTAGCTGTTGGGAGCCTGGGCTCTCCAGCTGCGTTAGAATCCCACTGGTTAGCTCTATGACCCTGGGCAAGTGTTAAGGACTGAATGTCTGTGTGCCCCCCACTCCCAATTCATATGTAGATACCCTCACCCCCAAGGTGCCTGCACTTGGAGAAGGGCCTGTGAGAAAGTGATGAAGGTTCAATGAGGTCATAGGGTGGGGCCCTCATCCAATAGGGCTGGTCCCTTTTTAAGAAAGGGAAGAGACACCACAGCTCTCTCTCCACCAGGTAAGGGCAGGGGGAAAGCAAGTCCGCAAGCCAGGAAGAGAGCCCTCACCAGGAACCGAATCAGCCAGCACCTTGATCTTGGACTTCCCAGCCTCCAGAACTGCGAGAAATCAATGTCTGTTGTTTAAGCTACCCTGTCTGTGGCATTTTGTGATGGCAGCCCCGAGCTGACTAAGACAGCAAGTTATATAACTTCTCTGTGCTCCATTTCTTCATCTGGAAAATGTGACAAATGTTAGCTTCTATCACAGACACTGCTGTATGCAACGGACAGAGATGAGTTTGGAGGGAGCTCGACACAGTCTCTGCACATCCCTCTGAAGATAGCTGATCAGGAAGGCGGCTGTGAGTGATCTCATTAAGGAGTGGCTTTGAATTCTCTCTGTTGCAATTTATTTTTTTAAAGTCAGTCATTTGCAAACTCAGGCACTGTGTTAGAAACAGTTTGGGACCATATTGCACTGGGCTCCCTTCTCTGGCCCCTCTGCCCCGCACCAGTCCCACCTGTATGCCATGCTCCACCCTGCCGTGGGGTCTGTGAACTTGCTGTGTCCTCCGCCGGCCGCACACCTGGAAAACTCCTACGCATCCTTCAGCCCTCACTGTCCCCCAGTCCAGAATACTCTCTCCAGCCCCATGTCACATGGGACTTGTCACACTTAAAACCGTCTTTTGTTAGCATAACGATTCGATTAGTATCTGTTTCCTATAATAGATTATAACTCCCAAAGGGCAGGGTGCAGGCTCTTTTGCTCACCATTAAATTGTCGGCACTTGAAACATGCCTGGCACCAGGGCAGAGCGTGCAAAAGACAAGCAAGGTGCTAGGGCATGAACCTTAAGGAGGCACCCGCTCTCGGGGGCATGTGTTTGAAGAAATGGCACCTAGGAGTGAGCGCCTCCTTAAATTTTGCACCCTCAGTGTCTTACTTGCCTTTCCCTGGCCTAAGTCTTGCCTACCACATAGCATGTTCTCAATAAACATTTGCCAAATGAATTAATGACCAAATGGCCCATGTCTTAATTCTCTGCCCCGCTCTGATATGTCCTGCTGGCCCCATTGAGAATCTCCACTCTAAAAGAGACCTCAGAAGGGGAGACAGGGTGGGCGGGTTATTGTTCTGAATCCTCTTCTCCTTGGGGGGCAGTGATCTCTGCCAGGGAAAGTGAGCAGCCAGGTGGGGAGGCTGGCACAAGAGGCAGTGAGATACCGTGGAGAGTGGGGTTGAATTAGACTCATGAGGCCTGGAGCCTGCATCTGATAATAAGCTGTAACATATAAGCTGTGTGACCATGGGCACATCGTTTAAACTCTCTAGGCCTCCGTGTCTTCCTGGGTGAAATGGAAATAATCACAATTGCCAGGTTATCCCCACAAGGAATAAATGAGATAAAGGGATATGAATGTTGAACTGGCTGTCCAGAGGCAAGGGGTTGAGCAGGAAGAGGAGAGAGGGAGGAGGGGATGGAGGGAAGAAAGACCAAAATGCGGGGAAGGAAAGGAGGGAAAAGCACGCAATAGTAACAGAATAAAGGATGGAGGGGAAGGAGAAGAGAAGAGAGGAAAGGGTGCAGAAAAAAACAGGTGGGAAGGAAGAGGGAGACAGAGAGAGAGAGACAGATGGAGGGAAAAGGCACACAGACATTTTTCTAAGTCTTAAATGGTCCCAGGAAAACCAGCCCCTTCTGGAAAAAGCATTCATTTCTATCTCAGAGTAGAGACGTCTATGGGCCACTTCCTTTCACGTCTTATTTTTCATTTACATCCCACCTTCATTACATAAAAGAATGGCGATGATTTATAACACAAACATGTACTCGACAGGACAGTTGAACAACCAGAGACCTCATGGGGAAAGAGTGATGCCAGTTATACCACGAATCTGCGGTAAGATAAGTTAGCAGTCTAGCTTTTCATTCGGTTCTGAGCCTCCTGGCAGCTAAAGCATAAAGGGAAACATGATGGGTTACAGAATTCTCATTATTTGATGCCTATTTATTGACTGCACGGTTAAGGTCTCTCCCTTCTTGGAGGAGTCCAGCTGCCTGGAGAACCAGGATCAAGCCTCACTTGCATGACTGATGGGCATTACAACTCCTTTCTGTGTCTGTAATGAAGGCCATGGGGGCAGGGAGGGAGAAGATGGGATACGGCAGGACCCGATGAACTTCCATTTGGGAAGAGAGAGAGAACACGGGCTTGTGTCCTTCCTGGGGTCCATCTCAGCGGGCATTGTGCGGCCTGAGCCAGGTGAATCTCCAGCAGCTGAGTCTGCAGATGGCTCTGGCCCTGCTTGCCCAGTAAGGGACTTGGGGGAGGGGTGGTCAGCAGGCCTCACGGAGGACTACAAGCTGCTGGCAACGTTCCCTCTCAGCTGGCTCCTCTGAGTCTGCACATGCAGAGATTAGGCATGTTGCAAACCCAGCAATGAGATGCAAACCCAAGAGGAGGGGGCAGAATGCAGCTCAGGAGCCTGCAGCTCTGTTTTCCCCCTTGGCAGGGTGCCAGAGGCCTGGAATGCCCAGCAGCCGGGGTGGCCAAAGGACTGGGACTCTGTACCCACTTGGTTTCCTTAGAGGCTGGCACCGTGAGAATCAGGAAGGTCTGCTCTGGTTCCACCACATCATCCTCTATTGTCCCCTCTGATAACAAAGGTATAAGAAATTAGGGGGCTGGCCCAAGTCACAGACTGACCCGGGCTGGGTATCCTCAGCCCTGGGTCTCAGTCCTGGCTGTGCCATAAACTTTTTAGGTGACTGAGCAAGTTCTTGCCTTGTCCTGAGCCTCAGTTTCCCCTTCCTGAAAAATGAAAGGTCCAGCCTGGTTCTTAACAGTAAACCATGAGGGTGATGAGGAGAGAGCATGGAATCATTACAGAGAGTTGTTGAATTCATACGCCCAGCAAGTGCTGCTTATACAGAGAAGGAATTACATGCCTTGAGATTTCCAAATGTATGTAGATACTTTTGTGATGAACGAAAGATACATTTATTAAAAAGTGTTACTGAATACATAGAATCCCTATGTCACCACGTGTTTTGTTATCAACTGACACCAGCACAGCCATTTACAGGCTATGTAACCTTGAGAAAATTAATTAATCACTGCTACCTCGGTTTCCCCATCTGTCCAATGGGCCTGATATCAGAACCTGTCTCATAGGGCTGTTTTACATAGCATAACGCCTGGCGTATTAGTTATTATCATTCATTTTCTTTATTTTAAAAGTATAGGGCCGGCCCTGTAGCTTAGCAGTTAAGTGTGCGCGCTCCGCTACTGGCGGCCCGGGTTCGGATCCTGGGCGCGCACCGACGCACAGCTTCTCCAGCCATGCTGAGGCCGCGTCCCACATACAGCAAATAGAAGGATGTGCAACTATGACGTACAACTATCTACTGGGCTTTGGGGAAAAAAAGGAGGAGGATTGGCAATAGATGGTAGCTCAGAGCCG